GGGGGGGGGGGGGGGGGGATTTTGATATCCTGTTTGGTTTCGGTTTTGTTGATGTTGTTGCCTGGTAGGTATGTTCGCTGGCACACGCCATTGTGGTCTGCTTCGGCGGTGTGAGTGGCGCAGCGTGCACATCTGCGCGAAAACATCGTGCTGTGTGTTTTCTGGTCTTTGTTTCTCCCCCATTGCGTGCTTCACCGCGAAACAACGGTGTTTCCTCTGTGTATGCAGAGGAGGAAATATACAAGAAGAAGAAGTGGATATTTACAAAGAGGAGATCTGCGTGAGAAGTATAAAGAGACAAAAAAAAAATCTCAACGACAGAAGTGTGGCGAGGCTGAAAACGTAAGCCAAATCTTGCTTACAGGCCAGGAAGTAAAGTTAAAGGAAGAAGAAAGCGGTTGGAAATACACAAATATACGCACAAACGGTGTATGTATGTGTGGTCCGCATCCAATATTCATTAGTGTTTAGTTTTCTTTAGTGTGTGTCTCTCTTTTGACTCACTGGTATTTCAAAACTCGCCGAGAGAGTGCAGAACAGCCACTGGGGGGAGCACAATGCAGAATAAAGAAGAGCGACAGCAAGAGGCCCCCGCACCCCTGATGGTGCCGCGTGTCTGCCCGCTTCCGCTGGACGACGCCCAAGACGTGAGCCGCGGCCCACCCTCTGCACTTTTGCGCAGTGGCGAGCCTGGCTCCCTGCGGTGGGACAGCGTCAGCTTCTGGGACGACGGTGACACCACACCACACGCCGAGTCATTTGCGCCGTCCATGTTTCACGGATGCCCGAGTGAAACAACATCTGCCTCCATGCGGTACTCACGTGTGACGTGGAAGCGGCAACAAACCCGGACCCGCCTGCAAGATTGGTCCAAGTCGAAGCCCTACTCGTTTCACCGCGACGAACGCGTGTTCCTTAACCTTCCTAAGGAGGAGGTGGTGCAACGGAGCGGCTCGCACAGCCGTGAAAATGGTCTTGGCAGCGAGACACAAAACACCGTTACTGCGGCCTCGTCGGACAGAATGAGGGGGAGTACCGCCAGCGACATTAAGCCAGCCCCCCTTACCAGGAGCCACCTTGAGAGACACGTCAGGGGCAGCGGTGTGGCGCCCCCCGGTCCGGTGAACGAGACACCTCGCACCAGCAGCGTCGCGGAGTGGAAGCCGTACTTGGCATCCAGTGTGAGGCGCAACATAAGTGAGGCCTTTGGCACACCGCAGTCAGGTGGCGGCTGCGGTGACAACACAGCTAGATGTTCCACTGCGGCATCGGCGCAGCGGTTTGGCGCCCCCCCACAGACGAAGCGTTCGTTGCAGGGAGCAGCATCCACAAAGTCCCAAACAGTCGACTCCGAAGAGAGCGCTGACGAGGAGGAGGAGTTTGTCGCACGCTTTTACGCTGAGCAGCACGCACTCCGTCGGCAGTCGCAAAACCACCCCAACGGAGCGGACACACCATTGCCCTCAACAGTCACTGCTGAGGGTATCCACCACGACGAACCCTCCCAAAAAACAAGAATTCCAGACCACACATTACCGCAAACTACGTTGGGAGCGTCTCACGAGACTCATATTCCCTACACAGGCGGTGAGGACCCGATTAAACCTGATAGCACCCTACAGTCCAAGAAAAGCCCAACACCCATCACCCTAGAACAAACTGACAAGCCTGTGAGTTGCACCACATTGGAAGAATTCCGTCAATACATCATTCAAGGTAAAGCACGAAAATTAGAACGGAAAAACGAAACAACAACCATTGCTACGGTAACAGAAGAACAACATATTCAACCCTGCCACATCACCAACACAACAAGCAATGGATTGCATGGCAACAACCTCACCGCTGAAGAAAGTATACCACTCGAACAAAGACCATGGAATAACAGCATGGCTACAGTAGAAAAAAACGTCGAAGAATACAATAACATCACAGCAGCTGCACAGCAGGGTGAGGAGCTGCTCGTCTGCGCACTGGCACTGGGTGAGGAGGAGCGGCAGGGCCGTGGTGCCATTGCTGGGCAGGAGGAGGCCAACCGGATCAGCATGCTGAGTGCTGCACAGCAGGGTGAGGAGTTGCTCGTCTGCGCACTGGCACTGGGTGAGGAGGAGCAGCAGGGCCGTGGTGCCATTGCTGGGCAGGAGGAGGCCAACCGGGTCGGCATGCTGAGTGCTGCACATCAGGTAGGGTGGTCCTCATGTAGTTTTCCTGTAAGTGGGCCAGTGGTTGGGTCTTACGTTGGGGTGCTTGAAGACTCCAATGCTCTTGCGGCGTGGCCTTCTTCTTGTGGTGTAGGAGGATCGAATAGTAATGGTTCTGCATTGCAGGATGGTTCTTTGGCTTTTGATGATGTGGAGTCTACTGTTGTTAAGGGAGGTGTTTATGAGGCACTTGTTGGTGAGTCTGCTGTTGGAAGTGCAAATGCTGTAGTGGGGGATGTTGCACCAGCTCCAGGTACTGTAGATCGTCCCACATACGACATTTCTGCTTTAGCTGTGGAGGAAGGTCACCTTTCCGTCGTTGCTGGTGATATCGGGGAGGGGAGTATCGCAGATGCATCTGAAACATCAGTTGCTGTGGATGCGGTTGTTGATACACCGGTGCATCCGATGCTATGTTCGCCTGGGGGGCGTCTGACGACGCTGCCGCATGGTGATCCCCTTGGCCCAGACTTGGATGAGGAGATGGAGCTTTCACCGATGTACACGTGGTGGAGTTGTTTGATGAGGCCATTTGCGTGTTGTGGGGGCCGGGCGCAGCGGTACTACCTCTCAGAACGTCCTGAGGATGTATAAATTTTNTTGTTTGATGAGGCCATTTGCGTGTTGTGGGGGCCGGGCGCAGCGGTACTACCTCTCAGAACGTCCTGAGGATGTATAAATTTTTGCGAAGGAGGGTGGCAGTCCCCATTACGTTTTTCGTCTATGAATCGGGTGTCCACTTTAGTGGTGCATTGGCAAATATTGGTGCGAGTTTGCTGCCGCGTTTTGCTTGCTTGTGTATCCTATCTTCGTGTGAGTATCACCTGTTTTAATTTTGTGACTAAGTGAGTGTGGTGTTATGTGCTTTTAATTCACGGAAGGTGGTTCTGTTGGTGACTTGATGTCATTTGCCTTTTTTTTTTGTTTTGGTGCCAGCGTGTGTGGATGATATACTCGTTAATCACTGTATTTTTTCCCCCCTATTCACAAAATACTTCGGGCGTTTGCGTACATGTGTGAAGTAGCGAAGGCGATGCAGCTTAATCTCCCCCCGCCGCCACTCATACATATCACGTTCAGCGGCCAGCCGGCCGTCTCCACGGGTGTGGTAAACCTCGCCGCACTCCTGGGCAACACGGAATACTTGCTTGTTAGGGTCCTCCCCACAGGTGACCGTGTGAGAGAGGAAGATGGGTATATTGACAGCGACGATGGTGTTAACGACGGTATTTACAATAATGGCAGCAGCAATGGTGCGGTATCTACGCAGCGGTGGCAGCGGCTGCAGTTGTGTGAGCACGCGGGACTACCGCTCGGATGTTTCGCTGTGGAGGATGGCGGCAGCTATGAGGTGGTGCGGCGTGGTGACGTGCGATTTTCAAGTACAGAGGCCGTGGTGAAGGACGAAGCTGCAGTACCAGCAGAGGCGGTAGCGGCACCTAGGAAGCAGAAGAAGCGAGATAAGAAGCGAAAGCGAAGGGAAGAAACGGAGGAAATGCTGAAGACGAACGCGAAGCCTCGGCGTCAGAGTGATAGGAAGGTAACAGAAGCAGCAACGTCAGAAGAAGTGGAACAACATAATGAAGGCACAGAGGAAGTGAACGGCGGTGGTGCAACGAGTGGGGTGGTCCGGCTGCAGCGGGTGCATCTCGAGACGCCCGCCACTCAGACACTAATGGAGGAAGAAGAGCAGCAACAGCAAGAAAGGGAAAGGCGGTCGGTTTCGCCGCCATTAGTGGCCTCACACCTGCCGATCATGGAAGCAAAAAAGCGTCGCCGTCCACTAAATAACAGTAGCAGCTGTGGCTCATCACGCTCTCGTGACGAGCAGCAGCAGCAGCAGCAAGCGAAGCATCACAGTCGAGATGAGTACACTAAGGAGACTCAACATGGAATGGAAAACGCGAGGGCGATGGAGCCGAATCGAAGTGAAACCCCGACGCCCCCACGCCGAACTGCATCGAGTTCAACCACAAATGATGAGGCGCATGCGTCGCGCGTTGCGGGCGCAGCAAGAGTCACGAAGGCCAGTCCAGTTGCTGCCCAAGATAACGGTGTTGGCAGCCCGCAACAGGATGTCTTGCGCAATGGAGCCATGCCCCTATTACCGCCACCTGAAGCAGAAGAAGATGCGCAGGCAGAAGTAGAATCCCGAGACAGCAGTAGCAGCTACAGACCCTCGAATGGGATTCACGGCACCTGGGTGCCACAGGAGAGTCCGGCATTGGGGTTCACTTCGGTCGACAACACACTTTCACAGGATTTCAGCTTGGGGTCGTCTTCCGTCACCTCCTCTGCGGACTACGTGTATTGAGCGTGTGCGTGACTGGGAAGTCTGGAGACAGATGCAAGAGCTAAGAAAAAGGAGGCCAGTGGGGTTGGTGTGGTGTATTCTAACGATATAATTGTTTTAAGTCAACTTTAACTGCTAACGCTTATGTGTCCACTTGTTGTTCGTTGTTTTTCCCTCAGCTGCGTCGCTCGCCCACATGCCTCTGGCTACACAAGGGGTCTATGTGTGTTGGTGTGTTTGTCCCCCCACACATGATTTCTCTCTCTTCTTCGGCAACTGGGTTTACGCGACTCTGTCCGGCTGCTGCTGCTGTGCAGCACCCCTTGTGGACACTGCACTTGTTTACTGCAAGTGTGTGGCAGCGACGCTTCCTTGGTCTCTTGGCTCGTCCTCTTTTGGCTGCTGTTTTGCCTTGGCGCTTTGCAAATTGCCTTTTGCTTGCTTCTCTACCTGCTGTTTTTCCTTGGACTTTGCTCCACACATATAATATATATATATATATATATAACGAATGAGGGATCGAGAGAGACGGCAGCGTGTTTAAGAAAAACACGAAAAGGGAAGAAAAACAGTTGTGCACCACAAACCACAAAAAAAAAAGTAGCGGGAAGTCCTGAGGAGACCGCAACGATGAACAATGCATTAGATCCTGCAAGGGCCGCTCAGTTCCTTGACATGATGCTGCGTCGGAACAAGATTGTGCTCATATCTGCCACATACTGCCAGTTCTGCACGAAGCTTAAGATGCTGCTGATTGAGCTGAAGCACCGCTTCGTGTCCCTCGAGATCGACATCATCCCCAATGGGCGGGAGGTTTTCACAGAGGTCGTTGGCCGAACAGACGTGCACACAGTGCCGCAAGTCTTTCTAAACGGTAAGTACCTTGGCGGCTACGACGAGCTGGTCGCGATGTACCGGCGCGGGGAACTCTCGGCGACGCTAGAGAAGCGGTGATATATGAGGCAGTTGGTGTATTTGTTTCTCGTATATAGTCACGCGCACATACATACTATATATATATATATATATAGTATGTGCTTGTTTATTGGGGAATGAATGAGGCATGCGCACAGNATATATATATATATATATAGTATGTGCTTGTTTATTGGGGAATGAATGAGGCATGCGCACAGTGGTGGTGTTGGATAGCGATTTTGGCTTTGTTGAAGCGGTTGTTGTCAGTCTTGACTGCAGGTAGCTGATTCAATCCTCTCTCGTTCCTGTTGGGTTGTCTTGTACCTCATGTACACATTTGTGTCTGTATGTGTGTGTGTGCATGTGCTCATTTCTCGTTGCACTCTCCTTCTCTCGTTGTTGTTGTTGTTGTTATGTTTTGTCCTTCTCGGTGTTGGGCGCCGCACACCACCAAGGATAAAGTAGTTGCCCTTGTGTGTTGTTGTTATCTTGCTGTCGCAGTCACTATTCTTGTTATTGTCAAAGATTGCTGGTATTGACGCACCTCTCGGCATGAGTTTGTACTCTAGCAGCAACTTGGGGGAGGAGAGCATGTCCAGCAGTGACAGTGAAAGTGGCAGCGACCCGTGGTGCCAGTCGGGCACACAAAGTGCGGCTGACACTGCGCCCGACAGTACGCAGCGGACTGCAGCAGTAGCAACAGCAGCGGCACGTGCGAAGCCGGCACCCGCCAGTGTGCAGCGGTGCTGCTTTGTCTTCGACACCAGCAGCCTGCTGGAGACGGACATATTAAGGCGCTTGCAGGTAGAAGCGCAGCGGCACCTGCTGATTCTACCAACCAAAGTTTATGAAGAACTCAAGTCGAAATCTAATCAAGAGGGCGATGAAAAGGCGCGGCGTATTCTTGATCTGATCAACCAGGAGAATCAGAAGCAACAGAACAACAATAGCCGTGGTCGGAGAAGGGGTGATGGCGACAGTGATGGTAGGCCAGAGGTTGGTCTGCGCCTTCAGAAGTCGAAGGAGAAGTGGAGAGACGTGATCAAGGCATCCCGCAACAACGACGATCATATATTGGCGTGCGCCTGTTACTTCTCTCATCTTCTAGAAAAAACCCCAACGTATCTCGTCACAGAAGATATTGTGTTAGCTCTAAAAGCCCACGCTGAGGGGGTGCTGGTAGAGAAAACAATAAGGTGAGGCAATGGGATGGGTGTTGTGTTTATCACAGGGTTTATTCCTGTGTGGTGAGACTGAACTGCAGTGACTATGAATAGATAAATTCTCCTAGTCAAAATCGGTTCGTTTTTTTTTTTGTTTTTGCCGGGGAGAGAGCCGTGGAGAGTAATGGCTGGATATATATGCGCGTGGCGGTGTATTGCTTATAGATTCATTTCCCGTGTCTTCCCCATTCCAAAGATCGTCGTATGGTGTAAGTCTTGTGAAAGCCCCACTCAGCCCAACCCTCCTTCTCTGCCCCACTCGAGAGTGCAGGTTAGGGACCTTTTCGCCACTTTCCTTGGTGTCTGTAATAATAATAATAATAATAATAATAGTAAATTTATAGTTGGGACTCCTGTTTGGACTCTTTCTTTGAAGACGGCGTGTGGTGCAAGCAAAGTGGGAGGGAATATTTATATACTTCTCCATTCTCTCCGTTATGGGAAGGAAGGCCCAAACCATTCTTCGCCGGTTTGGTCGCTTTCTCTGTGGTCTAGTAACATTTAGTCTTGCTTAATGGAATATGAGGTATGTGTGTCCCTTTCCTCTGATGTGTTGCTCTCTGCTCTGTTGTTGTTGACGGTTTCGTTACCCCTGCATCCTCTTTTTCTATTGGATGGCGGCTCAGGGGCAGAGAAGAGACAGGTCTCACGGCATTCTGAATTTTGGAAGCACCTGGAGGCGAGAAGTCGGGAATGCGGTGAGTGAAATACACGCGTCTGTTTCCTTCTATGTTTTTTTTTTTCTTTCTGGTCTGTTGTCTTTTGTTACTTCTGCTTCTTCCACTGCTGCTGTGGTAGCATACTTTCTACCTTTTTTTTCTCTTTGATTATTGTAGCTCTATATACGTAAAAGTAGAGAGCGGAGCTCACATACACACGGAGGCACAGGCGCTCACACGCACGGGCGATGTGGAGCAGTCACCCTTGCTCGACTCAAAACGTCGCCTTTGCACATGAGCTCAACGGCGGGGGTGATGCCGCGCTGCGAGTATGTAACACACCTCCACCGCAAGCCCGCGTCTCCAACACATTGATGGAGCGCATGCAACGGTGGGATTTCCTGAACCGGGAGCACTCTCTGTCAGCGCCCTTTTCCGCTGCGTCTCTTTGTAGTGGTGGAGGTGGCGGGACACACTCATCGAACCCAAAGTTAGCCGCACCATTAGATGCAAGAACAGGGGGGTCGTCTGGTGTGTCCTCGTACCCCATGGCGTTGGGGCAACTGCGTCAGGGTCATGCAAGACCCAACGAGGTGCAGCGGCAGAGCACTGTAGAAGCTACTGCACCTGGCTTGAGTGACTCCCTGGACGTCCTTCGGATGTATTCACGCTACTGTGAGGGAGCGGAAGGAGTTTCTGCAGCGGGCGGCAATCAAAACGACTTCAGAGATAACAAAGGGAGCATAAATAATAATGGTTGCCGATATGCAAGGCCAAATGAAAGTTTCGGCACTTCTGTCGTCACGGGGCCGGACATCAAGAACAAAGCGGTGCCAGAGCCTCACACAAAAGTGATTGGGCGAGAAAACAGTGTGAAACCCCGTCTTGTAGCACGGGGCCAGTTTCAATCGTTGCTGCGTGCCAGAAAGGAACGGAGTGCTGTAACAGTACGACGAGGAGCGGCGGTAACCCAGCAAAAAGTGTACACAAGCGAGTCAGCTGTGGCCCGGCGGTGTGTCGGTGACGATGCGCTGCGCCAGGCAAATCCTCTTGTGCAGCCTTCGATGGAGGCGCACTCGCGCTTGCATGAGCTACAGGCGCGTAGTCAGCAGGGGAGAATTGCGCCTGCCTCTAGTGGTGAGATGGGTGATACACCAGCGAGAAAGTCTGTGGTAACACGTCTCTCTCCTCTCCACACCGCGGAGAACTCGAGGCTGGAGGAGATACGCCGATACCTTGACAAGTACAGCGCCGACGGCAATCGAGCGGCAGCGCGACCATTGCCGCCTCTTCAGGAAGGGAGTAGCAGCAAAACACAAAAGCCCATGATAGAGAGGGCCAGTGCAGACAACATGCATACTTTTAGTGCTGCATCCTTGACAGGGGCGATGCAGGGGCACGACGCAGCAGCTGCTGCTGCCCCTGTGCAGAATGGAGGTGGAAACACCCGGCTGTGTTCCTTGGGCACGAAGTCTGCGGCTGCAACAGGTTCAGCGTCTTTTTCCAGTCCCTGTAGAAAGCGCCTGCACGTTGTGCTAGATACATGCAGCGTACTACAAGCAACACCACAGACGCTTGATAAATTGCTGAAACACTGTGTGTTGTGCATCCCGTTCGATGTGATTGCAGAGCTGGATGCATGGAATAAGGGCAAAGGCGCTGTTCAGTGCACGAAGGGCAACAGCAGCAAACTGCGTTTCACGGCGCGCCAGATTCGCAACTGGATAGCCGCCACTTTGGAAAGAGGTGCCAATCTTCGCATTCAGCGACGATGTGAAGTAGATCCTTCGTATGATCGTAAGGCGACGACGAACGACGACTCGATTTTGGGGTTTGCCGTCTACCTGGAGCACGAACACTTACCCGTGGAGTTCGTTACGGAGGATAAGTTCCTCCGCGTGAAGGCTGTGTCGGAGCTAATGGGAAATGTCTACAACTTGAGTGAGTTGTTGGAACGTCACCGCTGGTGAGGGGCTCATGGCCATCAAAGCACGTAGCGGTAGACGTATGGAAAAGACAGAAAAGAAAAGTCACAAAATAATCTTGTACTCTGCTTTATTCGGCTGCTTCAAAACGTAAGGCTCGGTGTATGCGTGCATATATATATATATATATATATAT